GGGTTCTCTGTCTTTCAATCGAACGTGAGTCAGGTCCTCATGCAAATGCACCAATGCATATACTCCGTTCCAATGCCCGACTCGTTTCAGTCCATAATTTTTTGTCTTAGCGCTTTCTGTCCTTTGACTGACTCACCACCAGAAAGAAATTCTGTGTTGCGGATAATTCTGATCTTTGATGTAATCTAACTAAATAAGCACTCATTCTTGTCATCAAGCCATTCGTTTTTTGGTCCTCAGGGGCTTGGGGAGAGCATGTTCTGGACGTGTAGGTCTGTAAGCACAAGAACNGTCAGAGATTATTGTTTCACCGGCATTTTAGTTTTATTGCTTGAGAAACTAACTCGGAAGATGATGCGTCTACCATATGAATAAATCGATTCTTTATTGAATTACCACCTCCGACCACGTCTCGTCAGTTTACTCGATTGATTTATTGATCGGAAAAGAAACCGGCGAACCCATATTATTACGTTACCAGTTTCACGCTTCAGCGGTCCAGTTTTCTATTCGTTCTCCAATGATGATAACTCTGATGTTAAGTATCGAAAATGTTTTAAATTTCATTAGAAACGTATGTTTATCCTTACAGTGTTTTTCATCCTATTTCGATAAGCGGTACTGTAAGGGTTCTTTTATTCACACCGTTTTGTAATAAACACCAGAAAGGGAAAACCCCATAGACATGAGGACCTGATTTTCATTGGTGATAACCGGCTGTTTAAGCCCTTAGACAAACCACATAAGGCCTTAACAAGATAGGCGGGGTATTGAGCCAGACGACAACTAAGTTGTCTGTCACCAAAGTTGTGTGACGACGACAGAGTTCGAACCCCAGACCTTAGGGACCGGAAGAGGCGAGTAACAATGATTTACAGCACTTTACTACCACAACTGCTGCGGATTGTTTCATCAATTCTCGACACTTGTCAAGATTTAAGATGAAAAACCACCATTGGTATCTCTGGAATTAGGCCGAGCGATAAAGAAAATATATATGCCCAATCCATGTTGATCGTTTTTTACGTGAATGCTTTCCTCATTACGCAACTTGGAAGATAGCTATTCCCTCCAAAGAATCGAAACCAGTCCATGGATTATGTTCAATTTAGTCGTGCAATTTTCATGTGCTGATGGTTTCTGTCGCATATTCATTGCAGTTTTTCTTTTTGTTTCCTATATTTCTGTTTTCAGACTCTGAAAAGAAATATCACTGTCAGTGGCCCAATTGTCAGCGGAGGTTTTGCAGTGAGGAGACGCTTAATTTGCATTATCGGAAACACACAGGCGAGAAACCATTCAACTGTGCACTGTGTCCCTACACGTGCTACAACAAGCCTACTTTGAATGAACACTATCGCCTGAATCATGCTAAAGATTCCACAGTGGAGGGACCATACAAAAGTTTCAATCCTCCAGTTTCCTCCCCGTCGTCAGTTGCTCAACAGGCCCCTATGAATGCGTATAGTTTTGGCTCACAAAGGGACGGTGAACCAAACATGAGAAGCACTACGCCCGCCGTAGTACCTGCCGTACGTCACCGTATGGCAGATATTTTAGAATCCTGTGGTACACAACCGCCCGGGCCGTTAGATGCAGAAATAAATGGGATTCTGGATAGTCTGGACAAAGAATCCGATCTTCCTGATCTGTTCACCTCAAGTAACTTTGATTTTGAATCGACTGGGCCAGACACGACATATCGGAATACGTCACATGTCGCCGGAAATAACCCACCGCCGCCGCCACTACCACCACCACCATCGACTGGATATGATCGTCCAAACGCCCCATCTTCCTGCCATGATGGACACTACTCTCCAAATTCATCACCAGTTATGTCTGGTGAACCTCCGAGGCTCTCATCGCTTGAGGCCACTTTGGCGGGTATTCTAGCCGATTTTCAAAGTGCTGACCTGAATAACAGTGCTGAAGCATTTGAGGAAGCCAAAACAAAAGCTTTATCCGTTTTGCCAACATTCACTACCGGAAATACTTTGGATCAACAACTGAATGCAATAATTGAAGAGATATTGGAATCGTTTATAGATCAACCACCACAAGTTTTGCGAGCGGTCTTTCAGGCATCGTGCCCATTCACACGCGAAGAAAGTTATATGATTGAATCACTNGAACATCAGCTAATGGATGATTCACCCCTAATCGCACCAACCCCACCACGTCGAAGAGGTCGCAGACCAAAACTGCAGCAACAACTTCAGCCATATTTGCAACGAATTTTTGATTTGGAACCAGGTACGGCAGAAGCCATGGCTGCACATCTGGTGAGTAGCGCACACCAGGAACGAAGTGTGAATTTCTATCCTCACTTCCCGGCCACAGAGTGTGCCCGTGGTCGCGGTCGCGGTCGAGGCTACCGGATACGTGGACGTTCTGGGCGTCCATTGTCACTCACTCTAAAACTATTCCCCGATGGTACCGCCTCGCGCACCCAACCCGATCCATCATGCTATCGTCGTCTGGTCGGTAGTGCTGTTCATCGTGGATCAGGAGTAGGAAGACGCATGAGAGGCGGAATTCGTGGCCGATATCGAATCGATAGGATAGCTGGAGGATTCCAACATTCCAGCACAGTTGGTGAGAATTCTGTGGAAGCACAATCCTCAGTTGACGAATTTCCTTCGGAAACCCATCAACCACATCGAACTCATCAGCGCGTCTACGATGAGGTACAGGTTTTTGACGCTGACGAGCCCGAAGTTGGTTACTCAGAACATCCTAATTCCCACTGCGATCGCTTCGAATCTGATACTCCAATTCCATCGGAGGAGATTGATACCACATCCATGCAACTTAGAGCAATCCGGAAATCTTCAGGGGAATCCGATGAGGAATTAGACGATTTGGACGAGATGGATGAAGGGGTAGATGATGAGACTGGAGAGGGTTACGAGGAAAGAGAATTACCTCCTCATGCCCATACACATCGAGTGGACACAACAATTGGACGAACTTCCCGTTTGGATGTAACTGAGTTAAGTAAAGTTGTGGCCCATAAATCTGGTCTATATAATGCGTCAGATAAGGGTAGTGTAAATCAAGACACATTGGGTGAAATGTTGGAGGATCTGGGAGTGATTGTCAAGCGAATTGGAGAACGCGCCGCTGCCCGAAGGCAGCCCAGTGTTCAGGATGCCTCTCCTGTCTATTCCTCGCAGCCGTTGAATCTAGCCGAGTTGCCAGAAGATGAACAGCCTACTGATTGTTCGGTTGCATCATTACTTCTCAATGGATCGAAGCTCACTCGAAGTAGAACCGATCCAGCGGCTCCTGCTATCCAACTTCCTTCCATGGCCATCCTGGCATCTGCCAGTGTGGGAACACCAACTAGTACTGGTGAGGGAAGCACTCCCGGATGTTCGTCAAATGCTGAACCACAAGGCACGTCACCTCACTTCAGTACGACTCACTCACAACACTCTGCTTCAGCCACCGGTCCATATGGATCGGTTCAGTCCCACACTCCACTGATGTCCATCAATCCTGAGAATTTAACTGCCAATTCCAGTGGTGGGGCCCATTCCACACCACTGAGCAATACTCCCCTTCGTAATGAATTCAAAGCGAATCAATCAGATTATCATCACCGTTCTGTACCCATGTGGTCTTGCGAGTCCATGTGCTGTCCGACAACTCGAGAAAATTGCTCGGTCGGACCGGACAAGTCAGCTTATTCCCGAAGTCCTAGTTGTGATGGAGGGAGTGTGCATCGTATGTCGGTTCCCTGTTCGGCTGAAGATAACGGAGAGAGTGGACAATCCTATCATCCGACCGATTTGAGCACACGGATGGTTGTAGGTTATGATAACCAGTCTATCTCTTCACCACAAGGATCTCCAGCATCTCCGAAACATCAGCCCGGTTCCCTGAGTCCAACCAGTGCAGTAGATGCTAACGGAATGTCAAGCAAATCCGGCCTGCTACCTCCCTACCCGACTTCATTGTCTTCCAGCACATCGGCCATGGACTCGTTAAGATCTGCAGTCGAAGCGGTGGATCACTTGCGTTCTCTTTCCGCGTTGGGGGCAAAATACACCGCCACCTTGGGTGTATCAGACGATCCCAGGCAGTCTCAATCCTATCACCATTCGCTTCGGTTACCTGGATATCCATATACAGGTCGATCTGCTCAACCCGACGAGTCTCCTCAGCCTGGTTCGGTCGGTCGTCCCGATCCGGGACCATCACCAACTCCACCACCACCACCTCATGGATCCTCACACAATCCTTCTGGTTCGAACATTTTCACTCCACCTCACATGCCGTCCGCTTTGAACAATTTGCTTTCCCGTAAGTTAATGCTGTTTGTCCTCTATATTCAAACCGGAAGGGTGGGGTATTATTCTGTTGCAAGTTCTATTCAAGTGCTTCTGTTCAACTTGTTTCATAGGTTGGCCGAGACTTGTCAATTTAAACGATCCTTAACTTCCAGTAAGTTCACTAGAATAATGGACCAACTGGCGGGGCACAACAGATGATGCTGATTGTTGAATATCCAGCCACTCCTCGGAGTGTTTAACACGATTCTTTGAATTTGATCAGATTCTATCCGAATCTGTATGCATAGAAAAAATATGCACTTGTCGGACTGATTTGATTTGGATCGATTATTCTACCCATCGACAAGAGGGGGCAAATCACAAGATTAACCTTGGTGTTGTGTTGAGATCATGTTTGTTTCCAAGCCGGTGATTTATATATATATATATATATATATATATCACAATTAGTAGCATGTGAATGACTGGGCGAAATTGCCCTGGAAGAACACGCCCGGTTTCGCGGTTCTTGTCGCTCGTCAGGTATGCGTATCCGGTAATCTTTTATCAATTCATTCATATATTTACACCCAGGAAGTGTATTTCCGTCGCAATAATCTTGTTTGCAACACACCGGGTGACTACTGGATACTTAGTAGCATCTAACTCACAAAAATATTGAATCATAGCATTCATTGTTCAATGGACTGGCTCTGAAAGAGCTCTATCCAAAATTCACCCGGTGTTGTAAACAAGGTTATTTTGATAACTGATTCTGAAGCGTGTACCGTTCGCGAGCGGCAGCGCATAGCACCAACGAACAACTGCGCTGCCGCTCGCGAACGGTACACGCTTCAGAATCAGGCTGATTTTAAACCTGATCAGGGCAGCATCGAACATATTTTTACAGTTCGCCAAACTCAGATTTTTTCCGTAGACCCGCCATTTCAGACGCGGTAGAGAAGTCCTCGAAGGCCCAGGTTTTGAAAATTAACAAGGAGAAAGGGGAAACGTTGGAGGGAGAATAGCTAAACTAATCACATCTACAGGTTTAATTCCGACACTGCTTTTTTAACTAAGCTATGTAATGTGACACGCTTGAGGCTGGGTTGGTGTTATTATTATTATTATTTAACACGTAACCAATTACAGAGAACTGGCTAATGTGCCATAACATATGAACAAAAGAAATCCGTAGAATGTGTTCGTAGGTTGTGTGGGCATGTTACTTCCCGGTCTTCTTCACCGAGGAAGGGGGGGAGGAAACCTCGAGGTCCCCACCCGAAGCCTTTGGCTAGAAAGCCAGACCTACAAGAACGGAGC